AATCTTAAAAAAAAATTTGATCAGATGTTATTAGGAATCACCTATTACTACTATGTACTTGACTTTGCCTCAGTACTGAAGATACGGCCAGAACAACCCTGCACCAAGGCTGTTCCCTGGGCCTCACATTGAAGAAAGGCCAACAGGTAACTAACACAAATATATAAAATAATAAATGTATTAAGGAACACAGAGGTGTTTCTGTGACTTGAGATCCAGCGTGACCAATAATCCTAAACCTCGGCTTTCATGACTAACACGGCTCTGATCCAAGGGAAATACTCTCTTTCCCAACAGCCTTAAAAGGGAACTATGTCTGAGTGACGAGACTGCTTGTAGATTGTTCCTCTGCCAGGGTAGGAGACAGGCACTGCTTCCAAGTACTGGAAGGATCTGAGCAGCAGAAGCCCGTCAGTAAAAACAAAGGGCTGACTTGTCAAATTCTTCCTTTCAGATGGCATGACTGCAGTGCATTTTTATATTGTGATGTATCATGGTGCCAAGCATCTCTTTCCTTCTTTTCCTTCATGTTCCAATGCACAGTTCTGAAGGTACTCACAAGTTAGCACAATTTCCCCCCCACAGTTGTACATGGCAGCTGAGGCATGTTTTGCAATATTCAATTTCTTTACCCGTAAATTTGTACATATGTAGTGTGACACTTCGTACTAATTCTTTACAAGACCATATATATCTAGATATTCCTTTAAGAAGTGGTAAAAATAGCAATAGAAGTCACAGAACTTTATATAATAAAATGAAAATAATCCATAACACTTACTGTGATAATCTTAATTTAACGTATGCAACCCCATTTCAGTGTTACAACATGCTATGTAAAAACTCAACTCATTTCCAAATCTAAATATTGCTTTATTTTCTTTTGAGAGAATTTGAGAGAGTTTGAGAAATTTGAGAGAGAGAGAAAAAGCATGCAGTGGGAGGGGCAAAGGGGAGGAGCAGAGTGAGGGGAAGAGAGAGAATCTCAGGCAGATTCCATGCTGAGCACAGAGCCCAACTCGGGGCTCAAACTTTTGGGGTTCTTGTGCTGACCCTGAGATCATGACCTGAACCCAAATCAAGAGTCCGATGCTTAACCAACTGAGCCACCCAGGCACCCCAAATATTGCTTTAAGAACTGTATTGATAATATGTTACCATAACCTTTTAACAGAGCAAAATATCTTCAAATGGAAATTAATTTTTAATAACTTACAATGATCCAAGAAAAATTAGCTAATTTGACATCCATTGCTGTCAGTAAGAACATAAATTGTGTAAAAATCTAGACTGTAACAACAGTGATTTTACTGAAACAAAGGCAAAAAATAAATTTTCAGCTGTGCCTTTAGAATGCCAATCTGTCTTCCTTTCTTCCTTCCAACAGAAGACATCCAGCCTGCCCTCCCCTCTCTGCTGCTTTCCGTCAGGACTTTGGAAGGGCGAACTGGAAGGGACACAATCATACAGACATTGGCTATTTCCAGTACAGAGGATTGGTAGGACTACAGAAAGGAGACTTGAGGAGAAGGACATCAGACTCTGGGGCTCCTCATATGTTTCTGGGTCACTGATGCTATCAGCACCTGAGGGGAATGAGCAGAGGTCAGGAGACTGCAAGCATGGGTGAGTCATGCACTTTTTGCCTCCTCCCATCCCGGGAGCCCTTACATTGGCCTTCAGCCACCCCTGCTTTCAGCCATCAGTGCTTTCTCTCCTTCCCATGAGCAAGCACTTCCTTTCCTTCTCCCAGCACCCGACCAACCCCAGCAGGAACCATCTGTAGTTCAAACCATTTCGTAGCAAGAGATGCAATAAAGCTAGAGAATGGCTCCTTAGGACATCAGGATCAGGGCGCCCGGGTGGCTCAGTCGGTTAAGCGTCTGCCTTTGGCTCAGGTCATGATCCCAGCGTCCTCCAGCGTCCTGGGGTCAGGCTCCCTGCTCAGCGGGGAGCCTGCTTCTCCCTCTCCCACTGCCCCTCCCACCTGCTCATGCTCTCTGTCTCTCTCTCAAATAAATACAATACAATACAATAAAAAACACATCAGAGTCAGAAAAAGGAACCATCGGAGCATTTTCCAAAGCTCTGAATCCCCAGCCAGGAGTCGGAGAGGGCTGTAAGGGAGCAGACGGATGTGACTTCAAGTGAGGAAGGATGGAATGAGGACGGGCATGAGAGCCATGGACAGGAGGGAGAGCTAAGGTAGCTGGGCCATGGCAACTGGAAGCCAGAGTCAGGAGTAACGTAGGAAGGGAAGCGGGACCTGGGGGACATTAGGAAGAACCACGCCAACCACAGGAGGGCACTGCATCCCCATGGGCTAGCCTGGAATGTCTGGGGCCAACACTGTAAAGAGGTCAGTCAAGGACAGCAAATCCCCTCTGCCTTGCTCCCAGCAGAGAGCATCTCTCCCTCTTCCTGACTCTTGGGGTTCTTGTGCTGACACATCTATAAGAGACAGACACACAGTCACCACCCACTTCACACACCAGCTCCCGCCAGATACACACACACACTCACACGTATACGCATAAATATCATTCCCTCCCTCTTCTGAAGATTACCTTGCCAACAGTGTTCTCTGTGCAGGCAAATGTGCTGAGAAGACCTGCCTTCCCCTCCATAATGCACAACAACACCACCTCTGTTTGTTGTTTTTTTTTTAAGTAGGCTCCACACCCAGCATGGGGCTCGAACTCACAACCCCAAGATCAAAAGTCTCAAGCTCTGTGGACTGAACCAGCCAACTGCCCCTCACAACAGCACCTCTTGCTGGTCAAGGCTGATGCTCGTTGGAGTTCTTTGCCTTTTCCTTATGTTTTGCCACAGTTTAAAAATATCAGGGCTTCAAGATATAGAAGTAGTCTAAATGCCCATATACGGGTGAATAGGTTAAAAAAAAAAAAATCCACACAATGGATTATTCAGCCGTGAGAAAGGAAGATATCCTGATATTTGCAACAACATGGATGGACCTTGAGCACATTATGCTAAATGAGATAAGTCAGACAGAAAAGACAAGTATTAGATGATATCACTTATAAATGGGATCTAGGGCGCCTGGGTGGCTCAGTCGTTAAGCGTCTGCCTTCGGCTCAGGTCATGATTCCAGGGTCCTGGGACTGAGTCCCACATCGGGGTCCCTGCTCGGCAGGAAGCCTGCTTCTCCCTCTCCCACTCCCCCTGCTTGTGTTCCTGCTCTCGCTATCTCTCTCTCTGTCAAATAAATAAATAAAATCTTTAAAAATAAATAAAGAAAAGAAATGGGATCTAAAAAAGTCAGGCTTATAAAAACCAGAGGGTAAAATGGTGGTTACCAGTGATGAAGGGTAGTTGGAAGGCAGGCAGGCAGGGGTAAGGGCCCCCGCCCTAAGAGGAAAGCACCCTTAAAAGGATTTTATACCACCCTGGAAGGAACCCTCCACCCTTTCCCATGTGACAAAAATCTGATTGGGTGACAGGCGCAGGGAGGGTTAATCAGATTAAAACAGCCTGCCAACAGGCCCATAAAAATCCCTAGACTTGGAAACTCCAGTGACAACCCTCTCGGGTCTCCTCCCTCCTCAGGAGCTTTGTACTATGGCTTAGCTATCCCTCAATAAACTTGCTCTGCCGCCTACCACTCTGTCTGGCCTACCTCTTTATTCTTCAAAGCCGCATTACGGAGAACCGCGGGCACTGACGGAGAAAAAAGTACTGTAACACCAGGGGATAGGGGGTGAGGGGATAAGACTGATGTTGTTTAAGGGTACAAACTTACAGTGAGTAGTAAATAAGTCATAGAGATCTAACTCACAGTATAATGAATATAGACAATACTGTACTGCATTATCAAACTTACTAAGAGACTACAATGTAATTATCCCAAAGACTAAAAGGAATGGATAATTATGTAATGTGGTAAAGGTGCTAAATTTAGCCGCAAAGGCATCATATTACAATATATAAATATATATATATAAATATATCAAGTTAGCACATTGTACATCGTAAATTTACACAATGTTACATGTCAAATATATTCAATTTTTATTTATTTATTTTAAAGATTTTATTTATTTGACAGAGACACAGCGAGAGAGAGAACACAAGCAGGGGGAGTGGGAGAGGGACAAACAGGCCAAGTGATAACTGTGTTTGAAATTTTGCCTCAGTGCTGGTGGCCTTTCCCCTCAAGGTGTTTCAAGTGTATGTGATCACCAGGGTGGGGACCTGTTCTCCTTGAAGTTCTTGTTCTTTGTTTCAGTTTAGAGGGCTGTTGTAAGACAAAACTCCACCGAGTAAATCTGAATATCTAATTGACTTTATTAATCAATGAATGAATCAGAAAGCACCCCATCTAGCAAGTAGAGGGGAGCTCCTAGGAATTGTCAAAATGGAAAGTTTTCATAGGAAAGAGGGTAGACAAGAAATTATTAGCAAAGGAAAAGAAAGGATTGTATCAAGCCAGGACATCTTGGGGCAGGGAGAACTGCGGGGTTTTTATCATGTATATTACTACACTAGTGCTGATCAGGAAATTTCATATTGACCGTTAAAACATGGCATTCGTGGAATAGATTGAAACTAATTAAATCACTTATTCCCTGGAGCCAGGGGGTCTTGGCATCCAGATGTCCAGCACCAGTGGTCTGGAATACACACATGTGGCCTCGCCCAGTTATTCTCCCTGGGTTGCTCCCTAGATGTTATCTATTGTGCTGGAAGGCTCCAAAGAAATTAACTCCTTGTCCCTTACAAGGAGGACATACACTAAGGCATGTGTAAGATAGGGGTGCGGGTCCTAGCAAGAATAGAAGTAGGAAAAGGAGGGAAAAAAAAAAAACAGTCCCTTCAGTTTCCCTGTCTTAATTAGATCTTCTAATTTACTCGGTTGAATTGTTTTCTCCAACAATGGAAAGTGAGTAACAAGAAGAGACTGCAGTATAGCTCTAAGATACATAGAAACGAATCAGAAGGCTGTCGGTCAACTAATACTGGACACATATTATAAATTGTGTGATTTGTTTAAGTATTTTTAAAAGATGCCTCATCCTCCACTGAAGTGAGCTTGTTTTGACAGAGGGTTTTCACCTCATCTTGTCAAATTATACAATTCTATTGTTCTTAAGAAATCTCATAAACAGGGTGATGTAGGAAAGACATTAGGGTTCAAAGCCAACAACCAAGAAAGAATTCTTGAGACGTCTTTGGTGCAAAAAGGTTGTTTTATTAAAGCATGGGGGCAGGACCCATGGGCAGAAAGAGTCGCACAGGGTCATGAGGAGTGCCCCATTATATACTTTCAAGTTGGGAGGGGGTTAGGGATAGCGTAAGTCTCTAAGGAATTTTGGAAGCAAGGTTTCCAGGACCTTGAGGGGGGCTAGCTATTGTTGGGATGAGGTCATTTATTACTGTCTAATAAAACCTTAGTCATGAGACCCTTCAGATGTGTATCAGTGGATCATATGCTTGGGGGATGACTGCCAACATGTATCTTGAGGGGTGGAGATAAAGGAAGTTTCCAAAGGAATTTTTATAGGTTAAAGTAGGCTTAGAGGATCCTGGGGGTTGGGCTAAGGTTGCCTTTTGCCCTTAGCAAAGTATCAACAACAAGACAGTTGAGTCCCTAGAGGAATGTCACTCTGCCTGTTTCAAGGACTTGTCAGTGGGCTGTAGGTAGTAAGGAAATTTAATATTTTTTCTTCTGCCTTTATTTCTCACATCACAGGGGCGCCTGGCTGGCTCATTCAGTGGAGCATGTGACTCTCGATCTTGGGGTCGTGAGTTTGACCACCACGTTTATGTAATCTTGTTTTTAAACTTGTCGTTTTTGAGAGAAATTATTTTATTTTATTTTATTTTACTTTTTTAGTAATCTCTACACCCAACAGGGGGCTCAAATCCACAACCCCAAGATTAAAAGTCCCATGCTCTTCTGACTAAGCCAGCCAGGTGCCCCTTGAGAAAATTTTTTAAAGAAAACGTGTTTATATCTGAAAATGAGTAATGTGTACATGTTGTCTGCTTTTGAGAGAAAGATTATGGAAGAATGGATGAGAGTCTAGGGCCAGAGCCCTGGCTGTAGTAAGCCCCAGTCCCTGGTAAGAGTTCTAGCGTAAAAGCCCGTGCAGCTATATACTATCACTGAACACTGAGCATCAGGCACCAACATCTTGCCCTTCTCTCCTTTTTTTTTAAGTTTGTTTTTTTTTAACACTTTTTTGCACTTCTAATGGGGAAAGTTGCGTCGGGGTTTTGGGGGGTTTTTTTTAAAAGAATTTTTTTATTATTATTTATTCATTTGACACAGAGAGATACAGAGCGAGAGAGAGAGAGAAAGAGAGAGAGCAGGAGCAGTGGGGAGAGGAAGAGGGAGAAACAGACTCCCTGCTGAGCAGGGAGCCCGATGCGGGGCTCGATCCCAGGACCCTGGGATCATCATGACCCAAGCCGAAGGCAGAAGCTTAATGACTGAGCCACCAAGGCATCCCATGCATCAGTTTTTTGCAGACCATGACCCCCAGTCTCTAAGGCTACTCCGGCCTCCTTGGGCAAAAATGAGGAAGAAAATCTTGCAGCCTGGCTCTGAGACACTGATTGTTCCTGTTAAGTTGGTATGCCTCCCTATTGTCCTACCCCAC